GCTCTCTATCTCATTCCAAGCTCCCTCAAATCCCCCAAAGTGGGACTTAGCTACAAAGAGATGACAAGGACTCTTAGTGCTGGCTCTTTGACTCCACAGCAGCTGCTTTAGAATCTTTCCCATAAGTCTGTGTAGTCATGTGCCAGAAATGTCTCATTAGAAGAAACTTTCCCAAGTGACTTGCATGGAGGTCTGCTTGAAGGGTATTTGAGGAGAAAGGCTCCCAGCAGAGGTCTGGGCTTTGGCCTAGCTGTGTCCCCTGCTGATTGTGAAGTGTGCCATCAGCTGCAGGGCTTTCTGGGCCAAAAAATATCATCAAGTCCCTTGGACTTGCTCTTTTAGGCCTCTAAGAGCTGGACCACATTTCGGGGCACATTTGGAGACCTCATCTATGGGTGGATGGACCACCTAGGATTTTCCCAATTGCTGGGAATGGTTCTCCAGGTCTCTGGTGTAAAACGGGGCTCCCCAGCAACTGCGCATCTGCAAGATGATAAACAATTGTCTTGGTTTGAAGAGTGATGTGTCTGCTAATGAAGGCAAAAGGCTTCTCTGAAATGGAAAATGTAAATCCCCTCCCTTCAAATGATTCTAATTTAGAAATTCAAATGCTCTCAGGGAAAGATATGGGGATAGGACTGATCCCGCAGGGCCGGGCAGCGTTTGCTGATGGTCTGAGCCCTTCCTAAAGATCCTGTGCGGGCTGTCTTAGACACCTGGGGCCAGGCATTCCTTCCAAGCTGGGCCACTTTGGCTGGGCTTGGGGCGGCCCCAGGGCAGAAGGCAGTGTGTGCAAGGGCCCTGGGTGGCACGCTGCAGCACGGTCTCGGTGCCATGGAACGGAACCCGGTGACCAAGGGCCCTTTGTGACACGTGGGAAATAGAAGCTTGCCCAGCTGCTGGGAACACACAACGGGGCAGAACGGGACAGAGCAGTGCTGTGAGGAGCCCCCGCACAGCGCACTCGTTCCCGTCTGACCTGGAGCCTTTCGGAGGCGTTTTTCCTGCAGCTGACCTCAAGGCCAGACTACAGGACTTGGTGACCCGTGGCCTTCCCGAGGCTTCTCTTCTGCAGGTGCCCGCACAAAACCAGTCATTATCATGGAGCAGAGACCCCTGAAAGCACCCAAGGTGGCTTGGGGGGAAGAGGAGGAAGAAGGCCCTGGAGCTGCCCCAGCACATGAAACCAAAGAGGTGGTGCCGTTTGAGCTGCCGCAGGAGGGTGAGTGGCAGAGCAGGGCCACAGGGTTGGTGCCCGCAGCCAACTTGGCGCCATTCCATCCCACCCCATTTTATCCCATCCCACCCAATCCCATCCCATGCCCATGGACGGGACAGAAGAGGGGCCGGGCAGACACCCCGCAGGGGCCCTGCTCCATCCCCTGGGGCATCCCGGGGCTGTCCCTGCCTGGGCAGCGCAGGGCTGGGCTGTGTTCTCCGGCCTCTCTCGCAGCCCCTCAGCTCTGGCTGCGCTCGCTCTTTGCCAGGTGCAGCCCTGCAGCGCACACTGGAGCAGGACCCCACCCATGGCCTCTTCCGCAGGACAGCCCAGGTACCTGCAGCCATCCCCAATTGGGCTGCGCCTACTGTCACCGCGCTTGAAGCATTCCCTGCAACATCTCTGGCTTTATGCCCTTCTCCTACAGCTGTTTTGCAAATTCATCAAGAAAATTTGGCAGGAAGAGACCAGCACCATGGGCACTGGGCTCAGAGCATATTCCCACATCTTCCAAACCAAGACCACTGCTTGTGGTGTCACTGGGCCTCATGAAAACAAAGATCTGTTGTGATACTATGGGGGCTTATGGAACCAAGGGACAATTGTGGTGCTGCAGGGCCCCAAGCAGGTCTGGTTGGCTTGGCCTGACTGGTCCAGCTGACCTTGCATGTTGAAGGTTCCTTCTCATCTGCCCCTAAAACTCTGGAGTTCCATGCTTTCCTTCCTGTGGGAAAGAACTCTCCTTTTCCTCCAGGTGTTCATGGCCAAAATTAGGATTTTACTTCCTAATTTGATTAAATCCAAAGATTCTTTCTATATAAAACCTGCTAGAACAGACTCCTCTGGATGGCCTTGGCATCTTGGGGGCCACCTCTCCTCTGCCTTCAAAACACTGGAGGGATGTGCTTTTCTTTCCATTGAAAAAAACATCTTTTGATGTAGGCGTCTCTGGCCAAAATCGGGAATCTTCCTCCAAAATTCCTTATATCTAAGGATAGCTCCCAGACAAAAGCTGCCAGGACTGTCTAGGTTCCCTTGGCTTCCTGAGGGCCAGCTCTCACCTGTCTGTGAAATACTTGGGCTCTGTACTTTCCTTCCTATGGAAAAGAACTGTCCTTCTTGTCCAGGTGCTCATGGAAAAAAATAGAATTTGGCGTCCCAAACTCTGTCTATCCAAGGATTGCTCCCAGACAAAAGCTCTAAAGACAAACAGGTCTGGCTGGCCTTGGCCTCCTTGAGGCTGCCTCTGATCGGCCTTCAAAACTCTGGGGCTCTGTGGTTTCCTTCCTGTAGAAAAGAACCGTCCTTCTTGTCCAGGCAGCCTGGCCTCAAGCACACGAGCACTGTAAAGGGACAGAGGAGCTCTGTGCTCAGTGAGGTGGGGACTGAGGACAGCAGAGGAGAGCCCTGGGAGGGATTGAAGGGTGGTGTCAGGGATGGTGGATCTTTTTAATATAATAGTAAACAGGGAGAAAAATGGAAAAACTTAATGTAAATTGCCACTGAGGAGATCAAGACTAGACAGAAGGACAAAGGAATTTCCCTTGCAGGGCAGGGCTGTGGTGCAACATAGCCCCCAGAAGGAGTCTGCAGCCCCGGGCATTGTGTGGGCAGGCAGAGGCAGGCAGGAGGCAGAGCTGTCAGCAAAGGAAGGACCCAGCCAGGTGGGGCAGCCGGGGGATGCCGACAGACTGCAGGGACAGAGGCGCAGGGCAGGGACACCGTGGGACAGCCTGGGCTGCACAGGGCACAGGGATGGGCAGCAGCTGCAAGACAGCCCTGCCAGAGCCAACTTGGGCAGCACTTTGGCCATGGCTGCTGGGCCTGGGCCTGAGGCAGGAGCAGGAGACAAGTGACCCTTGCAGGCCTGGGGCCTCATTGCCTCCTTGTCCCTGCTCAGCAGCCTGGCAGGGGCCGCCCCATGCTCCTGCCCTTGGCATTGCACATCCCCACATGCCAGTGCCCATCCTGGGAAGAGCCCTGAGCAAGGAGGGAGGGACAGGATCTGCCTGGCCAGGGGCTGGGGCTCAAGCCTTGGCCCTTTGCATTCCTAAAACACATCCAGCTTTGCTCAGCACCAGACACACCTTTGCCTTGTTCGTCCCCAGCTGTCATCACTGCCTCCAGTGTCCTGCACTAACTGGAACTTGGGGACACTTTCTCAGTCGTGTTCCTCAGTGGGAACCATTAAAACTTCAGGAAACTTCAGACTTTCAATATAAGTTTGAGTTTTTGAGAAGTTTTTTGAAGACTCTCTCAGGGACTGAGTCTGATGTAAACAACACCAAATCCCCAAGAGGCTCATTAAAGTTTTTGTGCTGTGTCTGTGTTGCTGAGCTTTAAAGGAACAGCTCTTCCCAGGGCCAGCTCCTCTCCCAGCCCAGCAGAGCTGAGGGCTCTGCCTGCAGGCACTGAGGGGACAGGAGCCAGGCTGAGACAGGCTGAAAGCAATCGCATTGGGAATAGATTGAGCTGAGACTTCACCTGGGGAAAGATCTTCACAGCCCTGTGCATGGTGAGTGTGTGGGTGCAGAGCAATGATCCCTGTGCTCCTGGAGGGATCTTCTGAAGCCAGCACACCCCACCGCCTGGGGGATGTGTCAGGAGGACTCTCCCAGTTTCTCTGTGGCACAGGAGGAGCAGGAGGAGGATGTGCTGCAGAGAGGGGCTGCCCTGGGCACCGTCAGAGGGACAGGGCAGGACGGCTCCTGCTGCCAGGGACGGCTGCAGGGGGTGAAGCTGGGGTTGCAGCCAGGGCTGCCCAGGGCTGTCCTGCAGAGCAGCTCCTGCAGTCCTCAGGGCTCTTGGCCAGCCCAGGGCATGTGCCACCTGCCAGCGGCAGCTCTCAGCCTGCCTGGCAGCTCCCCATGGATGCCGTCGGGGAGAACTTGGAGGTGGCAGGAGCCACCCCCATCAGGGCAGATTCCTCCTGCTGTGGAGATGGTGCTGCATGGCCAGGGCTGCTCTCAGCTTTCTCCTAAAGGGAAGGGAAAGGGGCTGTCAGCTTTGGCCATGTCACTGAGACTCCTGCACTGTCACCCTGGGCATCAGCAGATGGGCCTCAGATCTCCCTCAGAAAGTGCCTCCTCAGCCTCCTCTCCCGACAGACAGCCGCAGCAGCTCCTTAGCTTGCAGCATCTCTGTTTGTCTGGCCTGCCCTTAAGGCCCTGCTGCCAGGGGGATGCCCCTGGGCAGTGCCCTGGGCTGGGAGGGGTCTGCAGGGCAGAGCTAAGCCCCCAGGGCTGGGGTGGGCTCTGGCAGGACTGGCAGGGACAAGGCTTGGATAGAGAGAAACAGCTCCCAGTAGGCACAACTCGAGGCAGCAGAGAGCCAGATCAACCTTTGGCATCCCTCCCTGTCCAGCTGCGTAGGGAAAGAGAGAAGGGCTTAGAGAAATTGACTTTTAAACTGGAGTCTTTAAAAACTCAACTTAATTTTTCAAGCTCAGTTTATGTTGGATCATGCTGAACTAGAGGGAGGTGGAATGGGCAAAGTGCACCTCTGTGGGGACCAGCAGGTCTGACTGCAATTGCGCAGAGGGAGCCCTGTTTTCCCTGTAGGCTTCCCCACGGTTCAGGCTGAGAGCAGTGCTTAAGATGAATCAGGAACTCTGGAGCATAAACCCCAGCTCAAGAATAAACATATTGAGTGAAGTTTCCCCATAGGTAGAGAAGTAGTTTTGAGGGAATTCCTAAAATAACCCTAAAGGGTTGATTCCAAGAGCTTGGTCTCAGCTTTTCAATGTCTTGTTTCTACAGTCCACAATGCCCAGAGGTAAGGAATGTCCAACAGCAGCTCCATCAGGCACTTCCTCCTGCTGGCATTGGCAGACACGTGGCAGCTGCAGCTCCTGCACTTCTGCCTCTTGCTGGGCATCTCCTTGGCTGCCCTCCTGGGCAACGGCTTCATCATCAGCGCCGTGGCCTGCGGCCACCACCTGCACACACCCATGTTCTTCTTCCTGTTCAACCTGGCCCTCAGCGACCTGGGCATGATCTGCACCACTGTCCCCAAAGCCATGCACAATTCCCTCTGGGACACCAGAGACATCTCCTACTCAGGATGTGCTGCACAGCTCTTTCTGCTTCTCTTCTTCATTGGAACAGAGCTTTCCCTTCTGACCGTGATGTGCTACGACCGCTACGTGTCCATCTGCAAACCCCTGCACTACGGGACCCTCCTGGGCAGCAGAGCTTGTGCCCACATGGCAGCAGCTGCCTGGGCCAGTGGCTTTCTCAATGCTGTCATGCAAACAGCCAATACGTTTTCCCTGCCCCTGTGCCATGGCAATGCCCTGGGCCAGTTCTTCTGTGAGCTGCCCCAGATCCTAAAGCTCTCATGCTCACACTCCACCTTCACAAAAATTTGGATTTCATTGCTTGCTGGCTGTTTAGCTTTTGACTGTTTTGTGTTCATTGTTTTCTCCTATGTGCAGATCTTCAGGGCTGTGCTGAGGATCTCCTCTGCGCAGGGACGGAACAAAGCCTTTTCCACCTGCCTCCCCCACCTCACCGTGATCTCCCTGTTTGTCAGCACCTCATTTTTTGCGTGCCTGAAGCCCCCCTCCATGTCCTCGCCATCCCTGGATCTGGCCCTGTCAGTTCTGTACTCGGTGGTGCCTCCAGTCCTGAACCCCCTCATCTACAGCCTGAGGAACCAGGAGCTCAAGGCTGCAGTGTGGACACTGATGAATGGACGATTTCAGAAACAGTAAACTGCTGGAAAATTTTTGCAAATCAATTGTAATATAAATCATCTTTGATACATTAAGTTGGTTTTAGTTTAGAGGTTCTTTCACTTTGTATTACATTTTTAATATTGCCCACAAAGAAATACAATGGTTTGTACCGTTTCTCATTTTGTTTCTCTCAAAATTTGCAGTGGCCTCTGACTGTGTCAATGAAGAGCTGTGCTCTTGATGGCTTAAGCAAAGTAAAGCATCTCTCAGCCAAGTTTTCACTGCAGATGCCCCCTTTTGTTGCCTTCTCTGGAGCTGCAGCAGCAATGTCTGTGTGCACAGCTGGGGCAGATCAGTGCTGGCCCAGCCGCTGTGCCCAGCAGCAGCAGCACTTGGTGTTGCCAGTGCTGCTGCCGTGGCCCTGCCCGCTGCCCTGGTGGCCCTGGTGTTGCTGCAGGGCCTGAGTGCTCTCGGGGCCGGGCACAGTCCTGGGGGTGGCAGTGCCGGGGCCGCAGCAGGGACAGGCCATGGGCACTGCTGGGGCAGCGCTGATGCCTCAGCCCAGGCCCTGGGGGCTCCAGGCTCCTTGCCCAGGCTCTCTCAAGAGCACGCCCAGGCCAATGCTGAGCACAGAAAACCCCCGTGAGCAGCCCCAGGCTGGCTTTGGGCAGGCTGGGGGCAAACAGCATGGCTGGGGCTCTGCAAGGGCCCTGGGGCTGATGGGAAGGAGCAGCAGAGCAGGGGCTGGTCCATCCCCAGTGCACTGCACTGCCCAGGGCAGTATCCCAGGGCGTCCTCATGGATCTGCCAACAACATCCCCCCTCTGCAGCCCTGGCCTCTCCCCCAGCTCACACAGGTGCCCCATCCTTGCAGGCGCAGACACGACAGCACTGGCTCAGCAGCCCCTGATTGCATTGCACAGAGCAGGGGACCACGCCCATGCTGTTGCTGTGGGAACATGAACATGAGGGAGCACAAATGTCATCAGCCCCTGGGGCCAGCAAGGGCTGGGGGACACCAGGGAAACCATTCAGCTTTGTCCTGGTCTCTGCAGTCTGCCAGAAAGGTTGTTCCCATCAGCTGGGAGTTTCCTGTCCCACTGCAGATGCTGTTGCTCAGAGCCAGGGCTGCCTGGAAGCCACCCCCAAACTGCCCTGAGCATTTCCCTGGCTTCACCTTTGATTTCTTTCCTCATCCCTGATCCAGATTCCTTCTTATTGCGCATCCCTGTCCCCTCCCCTGCAAACAGCCCATCCCTGTTTGCCCTTTCCTCTCTGGCCCCACTCCCCATTGCAGTTCCTGACTTGGCACCATGGGAACGTCCCTTGGGCAGCAGGATCATCCTACAAGTGCTGCAGGAATTGTCTGCAGGCTCCTGCAGTGCCTGGTGCTGCTCCCTTGCCAGAGGCACCCCAGGCCAGGGGGGCACATCTGGGCTGCTGTGTCTGGCTCTGGGGCTCCCCGTTCTTTGCAGTGAGGAGGAGCTGCAGAGGCTCTGCAGGACTGACAGGATGGGCTTTGGGGCTGGCAGGAGAAGCTGAGGGACCTGGGCTGCTGGAGCTTCTGAAGAGGAGGTCCAGAGCTCCTCCTGCAACTGCTCCAAGGGTGGTTCCAGAGAATCACAATATCAACAAGGGTGGAAAAGACCTTGGAGATCATCAAGTCCACCCTGTGCCCTGTCACCAGCTTGTGTCCCTGAGCCTCCTCTTCTCCCTGATAAACAACCCCAGCTCCCTCAGCTGCTCCTCACAGGACTTGTGTTCCAGACCCCTCCCCAGCCTTGTTGCCCTTCTCTGGACATGCTCCAGCCCCTCCATGGCCGTCATAAACTGGGGGCCCAGAACTGGACACAGCACTCGAGGTGTGGCCTCACCAGTGCTGAGCACAGGGCAAGAATCCCTGCCCTGTTCCTGCTGGCCGTGCCATTCCTGATCCAGGCCAGAAACCATTGGCCTTCTTGCCCACCTCAGCACACTGCTGGCTCATGTCCAGCCTGATGTCCATCAGTCCCTGCAGGTCCCTTTCTGCCTGGCTGCTGCCCAGCCACTCTGTCCCCAGCCTGTATTGCTGCAGGAACATGTTGTTGTGGCCAAAGTGCAGGACCTGACAGTTGGACTTGTTCAACGTGACCTTGTTGTATCTGGGGCCTGGATCCAGCCTGTCCAGGTCCCTCTGCAGAGCCCTCCTACCCTCCAGCAGATCCACACTCACACCCACCTTGGTGTCATCTGCAAATTTGCTGATGCTGGACTCAGTCCCTTCATGCAGATCATCAGTGCAGATATTGAAACCCAGGCTGGCTGGCTCTGACCCCTCGGCCATCCTGTGGGCGCCCTGTGATGGCACTCAAAGTGATCTGTTCCTTAACCTTGCTGGGCACCCAAGTCAGGCTGACAGGCCTGGAGTTCCCCAGCTCCTCCTTCCAGCCCTTCTTGAGGATAGGCTCACATTGGCAACTCCAGTCCTCTGGGACCTCCCTGCTGAGCCAGCACTGATGGTAAATGATGGAGAGCAGCTTGGGGAGCTCATCCACAGCTCCCTCATGCCCCTGGGATGGATCCCATCTCCTCCCATAGACATCTGTGAGCATCTGAGTGACTCAGCAGGTCCCCAGCTGCTTCCTCCTGGATTACAGGGGGGGCTGTTCTGCTCCCTGTGCTCATCTACCAGCTCAGGAGAACACTTTTCTTGAGGACAACTTGACTTATTCTGGAAAACTGAGGCAAAGAAGGGGTTAAGTACCTCAGCCTTTTCCTCATATTTAGTAACCACATCTCCCCAAATAATGAATGGAGATTGTCCTTGTACCTCGTTTTGCCATTAATGTACTTATAGAAACATTTTTATTATCCTTCACAGACATGGCCTGGTTAAATCTTAAGCTTTCAGCTCTCTAATTTTTGTTCTGCATGGCCTAACAACATCCTGAAACACATCCTGAGATACCTACCTTTCTGCTAGAAGGTGATGCACCTTCTTTTTTGCCCCAAGTTCCTGCAAAAGGCCCATCACATGCAGAACGTCACCTGTTGGCTAAAGTACACCTCAGAGGAGGAAAATACAAGAGTCCATAATTTAAAAGAGTGAAAGCAAGTTAGGAAAGTAAAAGAAGAGGCTGGGAAGGCTGACAAAAACTGGGACCTCCTTGACCACTTACTTCCTCCTACCCTTGCAGTACCTCAAATCCTTCCTCCAATTCCTCTTGCTGTGGACCCAATTCCTCCTCCTCTCTCAGCTGCCATTCCTTTACCACCTGCTAACCCAGTTATACCTCCAACACCTTCCCCTCAACCCTCTGCTTACTCTCTTTACCCTTCACTACCGTCCTCTTACCTCAACCATCTCATGCACCCCTTATTCACCAGCAAGTTCCTGCTCTGCCTCCCCCAGCACAAACGAGAAGCCAAACAACATCTCAGAATCTCATGCCCAAGAGTGAAGTTAACCAGTCAGCCTCCGCAGCTGATGTTTTACCACTCGGACCAAAGTGGCTGAAGTGGAAAAATTGTTCCCCCTCAGAGAAGTTCCCATGGGTGGGGTGGCCAGGGAGATTGGATTTGTAAACACTCCCTTGACTGCGTCCGAAGTTGGAAACTTTAAGTAAGAATTGGGAAATTTAGTGGAAGACCCAGTAGGAATAGCAAATCAAATTGATCAATTTTTAGCCCCTAATATTTAGACATGAGGACAATGGTACATCTTAAACATCCTATTTTCCCTAGAAGAGACTCGAATAATAAGAACTACAGGAATGAAAATTTGTGAGCGAGAAAACCAACCCGCGCCCCAAGGTAACAAAAAATGCCTTTAGTGGAGTCTGACTAGGACCCTAATCAAGAAGAGGAGAGAAAGAATATGAGAGATCACAGGTCCCTGATGACCAGAGGAATAAAAGAATCAGTCCCTAGAGGGAGTAATACCAGGTTAGCGTTTGACAGCACCTAGGAAAAAGACAAGACCCCAGCATCATGGCTTAATAGGCTAAAGCAAAACTTCCAGATTTACTCTAATGTTGACCTAGATAGCCCTGAAGGCCAAGTCCTTCTCAACACATAATTTGTAATTAAATCCTGGCCAGATATCAGATGAAAGTTAGAAAGAATAGAGGACTGGTAGGAAAAAAGTATAATGAACATCTGAGAGAAGCCATAAGAGTATATCTGAGAAGAAAAGAAAAAAAGACAAAAACAAAAGCTAAAATTATGGTAGCCAAAGCCAGAGAAAGTGTAGGCGCCAACAAGGATGGGCCAGTAGAACCACTTAGAAGAGACAAAGATTTTATTGGACCAAAAGGGGCTAGGGCCCTACTCAGTGAGAAATATTGTTATTACTGTGGAGAGAAAGGACACCTAAAGAGAAATTGTAAGAAACGCCAATTAGATGAAGCCGTAGCCTGGGAGCAAGAAACTCTGGAGAACATCTTAAGAAGAGATGAGAAATATGCGGGATAAGGGGTGTCAAGGGTTCTATGCTCTGGGGAATTTAATGAATCATCTAGAAGAGCCCTTGGTAAATTTTGAGATTGGTCCCCAGAATGATGAATTTGAATTTTTAGTTGATAGCAGAGCAGGCAAGTCATGTGTGACTAAAATACCAACAGGAATCACAGTCGGTTAAAAGGTCTGCAAAGTATGAGGGGCCAAAGGAGAACCATTGGAGGCCCAGATTATAGAAGATGTAGAAATTAGAGGAAATTCAAGAGAGTGTTGAGCTAATTTCATTTACATCCCCAAGTTAGGTTGTGATTTATTAGGATATGATTTACAAATCAAATTGGGAATTGGAGTAATGCCAAAAGAAGGAAAAATGGTAGTACAAATAATGGTCTTGACAAAGGGAGACATAGATGAAATCAACCGAAATGTGTGGGCGGAGGAGAGAAAAATTGGTTGTTTGAATATTCCACCAGTAGAAGTAGAGATGCAGAAAGACATCTCCGCCATTCGGGTAAGGCAGTATCCAATTTCCCCAGAGGGAAAGAAAGGACTAGCCCCAGTAATTGACCAGCTATTAAAGGAAGGATTTTCGAACCATG